TGAACAGGAAAGAAAGTATCTCTAGGTCATCAAAATTAACTTTTAATAAACTAGTATGGAAGCTTATCTAATTAATTAATTAGATTATTAATATTAAGTATTATGATATAAATATATTAAATTATAATGTTAATATGAAGATTACTAATAATAATTTGATATTAATTAATAAAAATACCACTGAAAGTTTGTTCATGAGAAAAAATTGTAATCAGTGAATCAATGAGTCAGCAATTATTTATTAAGACTCTACCATGTACAGGAACCATCTTATTTACTGAGAATACAAAGAGAGGCAAAAGGCAATTCCTATTGTTAAGAAGTTTGCAGTCTAATGGATAAGACAATACACAAACAACAATGTACAAACTATTTGTCTTATATGTGCATATATCTATATGCATATATAGATATATGCATATATAAGTATGTGTATATATACATATATGCCAATATATATGATAATTTGTAGAAAATCAACAAAGGGAAGACATTATTATTGAGAGGAACCAGAAGATCTTTCCTCAAATGTGAGATTTTAGTTGAGACTTCAAGGAAACCAGGAAGTAGAAATGAGGAGACAGCAAATTCCAGACATGGGATAAAACCAGTTAAAATGTAAGGAGTCAGGGAGATGGGTTATCTCATGCAAGGAATAGCAAGGAAGCCAGTGTCACTGGACTGTAGAGTATCTGGAAGTATGTAAAGTGTAAGAAGAATTGAAAGGTTGAAAAGGGGCAGATTATGAAGGCTCTCAACCACCAGAGTTTTTTTATTTGATCCTTGAGGCAATAGGGAGTTTGCTGAGTAGGACAGTGATACGGCCAAACATTTGCTTTAGGAAGATTAATTTGACAACTGAGCAGAAGAATAGACTTGATGGGAAGAGATTTGAAGCAGTGAGACCAAATAGTTGGCCAATATAATAATCCAAACATGAAGGAATGAGGACCTGTACTCAGATAATAGCAGCATCAGAGCAGAGAAGTGGATATATACAAGAAATGAGATGAAGGTAAAATCAATAACACTTGGCAACAGATAGGATATTAGGGTAAAGGGAGAAGTCAAGGATGACACTTAGGTTGTGAGATTGGGTGACTGAGAGAGTGGTGATAACCTCAACAGTGAAAGAGAACTTAAGAATTAAGGTTTGGGGGAAGGAAGGTAATGAGTTCAGCATTGTTTATGTTGAGTTTAAGATGTCTACAAGACACCTAGTTTGAGATGTTCAAAAGACAGCTGGAGATGTGAAATTGGAGATCAGGAAAGAGGTTGGGAATGGATAAGCAGAGTTGAGAATTATCACCATAGAGATGATGCTATAGAAGCTAATGAGATTACCAAGTGAAAGAGAATAAAGGGATAACAGAAGAGGGCCAGGATGGCACTAAGGGACATCCACAGTTAACAGGCATGACCTGTTGAAGACTGATCAAAGGAGATTCAGAATGAGAGGTCAGATAGCAAGGAAGACACCCAGGATAGTCACAGAAACCTGGAGAGAAGACAATATAAAGTAGAAGACCAACAGTGTCAAAGGTGGCATGTAAAGAGGTCAAGAAGGATACAACCTGAGAAAAGCCTAGTAGATCTGGCAATTAAGAGATCTTTGATTCCTCACTCTCTTTACCCACCCCCATATTTTAAACTGTTTCTAAGGTCTGTTAATTTTACCTTCATAACATCTCTCAAATATGCCCCTCTTCTCTCCTCTGACGCTGCCGTAACCCCAGTGCAGGATCTTGTCACCTCACTCCTGGTCTACTAGTTGGTCTAATAGTTGGTCTCTTTGCCACAAGTTATCTCCTCAACATATCCATCTTCCATTGGATTATTAAAGAGATTTTCCTAAAGCACAAGTCTGACAATGTTACCCCCTACTCATTAAATTCCAGTGGTCTATCACCTCCAGGATCAAAAATAAAAACTGTCTTTTTGGAATTTAAAGCCCCTCTCCCTTTCCAGTCTTCTTACACCTTATATCTTACCACTTTATCTCTGATCTGGTGACAATGGTCTCTTTTCTATTGCTCAAGCAAAATATTCTATCTCCCACTGCCAAGCATTTTCACTAGCTGTCTCTTATGCATGGAATGCTCGCTCTCCTCCACTCCAGCTACTGACCTCCCTGGACTCCTTCAAGTCTCAGTTAAAATCCAACTTCTACATGATGCCTTCCCCAATCCCTCTTGATTCTATTGCCTTTCTTCTGTGAATCATCTCCTATTTATCCTGTATGTAGCTTGTTTGTACATAGCTATTTACATGTCATCTAATCCATTAGATTTTCAGCTTCTCAAAGGCAGGGACTATCTTTTAATATTCTTTATATCCCTAACACTCAACTGAGTGCCTGACAAATAATAGGTGCTTAAAAAACATGCTTACTGACAAATTGACTGACTTTGTAGAGAACAATTTCAGCTGAATAATGAGGTCAGAAGCCAGAAATGTACAGAGTTAAAGAGAATAAGGGAAGTAGATGCATCAATTGTAGGCAGCCTTTTCAATGAGTTTAGCCATAAATGGGAGTTGAGATTATGAATGATAGCTAGCAGATGGTTGGATCAAGTGACTGCTTTTGAGGATGAGAGAGACTTGGTCATATTTGCAAGGAGTAAGGAAAGAGCAAGTCAGGGGTGTAAGACATTGAAGATAATTGAGAGAGTGAGATAATACAGGCAGTAATCTGATCAAGAAGTAAGGCTAAAATTCAATCACCTATACAGGTAAGTGGTTTGCCTTGGCAAAGAGAAGGCCCCATCTTCATCTGAGGTGGAGCAAAAGCAATCATAATTGCAGAATACATCTGGATGATATAAGATAAGGAGGAGGGGAGGAAGGGGAGCTTACAGTGAAAGGGAGAGTTGAGGGACACAGGAATAAGTTAGTGGATAGTGAGGTGAAGAACAAAGTTTGAATATTGATAAACAGAGAGTCAGACTCACTGCGATGGTAAAGATATGACTGGGTGGGAATTTGTTATTCATTTAAGAATGTCCAGATGTTATTAAATCCTCAGGAGTGTGGCTTCAGGGTAGAGTCCTCTCAAGGCAGGGGAGGGGAGCAAAGGAGAGAAGAGAATAAGGCTTTATTAAGTGCCTACTATGTGCCAGGCATTGAGCTCAACACTTTATAAATTTTATCTCTTTTGATCTTTACAACAATCCTGTGGAAGGGGGAAGGGAATAATCATTTATATAGCATCTACTACATACCTGACATGGTACAAAGCACTTTACAAGTATCACTGTCACAATTGCTCACAGCAATTTAGTTGCTATTATTTTCCAACTTAATATTTGAGGAAACTAATGCAAACAGAGGTTAAGTGACTTGTCCAGGGTCATACAACTAATAAGCATCTGACACTGCATTTGAATTCAAGTCTTCCTGACTCTATACCCAGCACTCTATTCGCTGCCGCTGGGCATTAGGTAACTAAGATTATGGAACCACTAAGGTTAGCCAATGAAATGGCATTTCTCTTCTTCCCCTGCAGGAAACCTAGGTAAGGAGACAGGGGGAGGGATCAAACTCCTGTATACATGTGTGTATACACATATATAACATATATACACATATGCAAATATAAACACATACTTATGTAAATATATGCATATAAACATGTTTTTATGTGTACATGTATATAATATATAATAAATATATTTGTGCTATGTATATATTGTTGCATATATATATATACATATATATATATATATGAAAAGCCCACAATAACCATCCTTCAGAGAGATGAAGCCAGGCTCTGACTGAATTAACTTCTGTGACAAAGTAAATTACCAAGCACTGAGGCATTAAACACAGTTTCATTCTTTCTGGCCTCCAGGATTAAGGCTTCTGGCAATTGTTTACATTTCATCCCACAGAATGTCACTCAGGAGGGGCAATAAGAAGATAGGAGTCAGTGTGACTACACTTCTTTCAGAGAGCGCATGTTGGCCCCTGTGTGACAAAATGATCAGTGAAAGCTTCATTAAAGAAGTGGCCTTTGAAATGGACCTTGAAAGATGAGCAGGATTTCAATAAACAGAGTGAAGGGTATTCCAAGTGAGGAAAATGCTGCGAGCACAGCCAGGGAGGCAAGAAGTACAAGTCATGTTCAGGGTACAGTACTCAGTCAGACTAGACTAATCAGAAAGGAAGGGTTAACGTGGTCTTCAGGAAAGACTTTTAAAAAGAGAAGTAACGATGCATAATTTTTGGAAAGGAAAGCCAGGTGTTGTATCAAAGTCAGAAAAAGTAATTTGGAATTTATCTTATAGGCCATAAAGAACATGAGGAACTTTTTTTAAGAAAACAGATGATATGATAACAAAGGTATTTTAGTAAAATTAATCTAATAATCATGTGAATGACTGATTGCATGGGGGAGAGAATGCAAGCCTGGGAATCAATCAAGAGACTTTCGTATTTGTCCCACCTCGTCACTAGGAGGGTTAGATCATTAGAATTGTAAAAATAGTGTTGGAAAGGAGAGATTCATTCAAAAGGCAGTGAAAAATGAATAAACAAATTTTGGGGACTTATGGAAGTAAGGCAGTGAAATAGATGTAGACAAGGATGCCTCCGAGACTAGATACTAGGAGAATGATAGTGTCACTGACAGAAACACAGCTGAACCTCATTTGATATTTTGTTTCATCTCAGGCTTAATTCATCATCCTTCCTGAGTCAAGTCTCCAAGAAAATGCTTTCCCTCACTATTTCAGGCCATGTTTTTGGTAACCTTGTCTGGGACCACAGTCCCTGCCAAGTCCAATTTCTCTGGCTCCAATATGCCTGAATCTCCTTGATCTTTTTAATGTTATCCAGAATTCCAGGTTCCCAAAAGAAATTCATTCCCACATGTCACAAAAAAAAAAATCTTTCACTTAACATTTGTCAATAGCAGCAAAGGGTACAGTTGCAATACAAGTACAATTTGGGAGAATATTCAGCACCAAAGCTGAATTATCAAAGAGACCAATCAAATTGTGTCATTTCATGCAAAATTTCCTGCTCAATACTTTCCTGATGGCCAGTTGTACATCTTTATTCCTGAGGCTGTATACCATGGGATTCAACAGAGGTGTGATGATGGTGTATGTCACTGTGACCAGGCGGTCCTTATTGGAGATATAGCTGGCTGTGGGTCTCAGGTAGATAAAGGAGGCACAGCCATAGTGAATGATTACCACAGTGATATGAGAAGCACAGGTAGAGAAGGCCTTTTTCTTCCCCTCAGTTGAGGGGATTTTCAGGATGGTTCTCAAGATAGAGAGGTAGGAAATGCAAATGAAGAAAAAGGGGGCCACAAGCACATGGGCTCCAAGGATGAAGATGATAAATTCATGAGTGTCTGAGTCTGTACAGGCAAGACGAATGACAGGTGAAATGTCACAGAAGTAGTGATTGACTTTGTTGGAATTACAAAAAGGGAGACTAAAGACCAAGTTAACCATTATTAGTGAGATCACGAAACCTAAAATACAGCAAGTGATTGACAGCTGTCCACACATCCGCCAGCTCATGAGGATTGGGTAGCGCAGAGGGTGGCAGATAGCAGCATAGCGATCATAACCCATCACCCCAAGCAGCAGACAGTTGTTGATAGCAAAACCAAGGAAGAAGAACATCTGGACAGCACAATTGGTGAAGGAGATAGTTCTGAGCACAGAAAGAAGGTTGAGGAGCATCTTAGGCAGGATGACAATGGTATAGAAGGTCTCAGAGACAGAAAGGACACTTAAGAAGTAGTACATTGGGGTGTGGAGTCTATGTTCCAGGAGGATAGCAGTCACTGTGGTGATATTCCCACACAGAATAAGCAGATAAAGGCAGAGGAACAGTGGGAAAAGCACAAGCTGCTTTTCCTGGAGGTAAGAGAAGCCCAGTAACAGGAACTCATTAATCATGGTAAGATTGGCTGGAGGAATCATTTTGCTGGGAATGTCCTAGGGGAAAAAAGGAGAGGGGAAAATATTAAGTTCTGTGGACCTTGGAAGCTGAAGGTATTCTTTCTGAAGAATTTAGGTAATTGGACCTACCTTGAATTGTTTGCAGGGTGGGGTTGGGAGAAACAACGAAAAGCTAGAGATGTAATATAGCTACAAATAAACCAACCTAGGATATGTCTCTTATTGTCAACTGAATCAGCAGTTCTTGGGACATAGTTTGATTGCTCAGCCAGTTTCTGCATCATCATTCAAATCCACTATGCAGTTAATATCATTCAGTTTTAGAAATTAAAGACCCACATGGACTATTTTTCTTTATTTTACTCATCTCCTTTGGTGTCCTTGGTATTAGTAGGAAGAGGGAGCCTCAGAGTTTGGGGCTTGGAGCCTTTCATATCTGAGAATGATCCTCACTGCAACCTTTACATGTACAGTAAGAGGAAGAGAACAGAAACAGCCTTGTGGGGAAAAAAAGGGAAAAAAGATAGAAAGAAGACTCACTGATGGACTTTCTAATTTGGAGAACATTGACTCCAACCTGACCCAGTATGAGAGGAAATATTTATGGATTTGATAACTATGTCAAATAGATCTTTTCTCTCATCTAGCCCTGCTGATGTTTCTATGGAATGATCCCTCCTCAGATAGAGTGAATATGGTCTGTGATGACCCCACTAGTTTTAGGCTAGCAATTGCTTAAGAATTGAGCTGATAACATCTTCCACAAGACACAGGGTCTTCCAAATAGAGACAGAGCTGAGACTTCAGAGTACACCAAGTCCAACCATCTCATCTTACAGATAAGAAACTGAGGCTGAGAGAGGTAATATGACCTCCCAAGGTCACACAGATAGTAAATGGCAGACCTAGGATTTGAAATCATGCCCTCTGACTCTAAATCAGCACAATACTATGATCCATATGCAGCATATATATCCTCACACCACATCCGTAACCTTGAATGGTAAACTACAGTTTATACCCACAAAGGTCCAAATACTCCAAATGTTGCTAAAAAAAAACAAACTTAAAATTAAAAAATACTGCTTCACCTCCCCCAGGATCTCTTTTATTTACCCAATCCACTTAATTACTTTTCATCCTTAGTCATAAATGCACACACATATGTATATGTGTGTATGTATATATATATATGTGTGTGTGTGTGTGTGTGTACAGATGCCCTAAACAATGGATATGTGTGTGTGTGTGTGTATACACACACACACACACACACACACACATCAGGAGATATGTATATATACATACACACACATATACATCAGGAGATATGTATATATATATGTGTGTGTGTGTGTGTGCGTGTATATATACATGTGTGTATGTATATATACACACACACACATCAGGAGATATGTGTATATATTATATATATGTATATGTGTGTGTGTGTGTGTGTGTGTGTGTGTGTGTGTGTGTGTGTGTGTGTGTATCCATTGTTTAGGACATATGTTTTCCTTGAACCTAATGTTAAAGTTTGGCACTGCTTACCTTGAGGTAAGGAGGCACTGTCCCAAGCTTCAGTCTTTTTTTGTGTTGCTGGTTCAAAGTTACAAAATAGGCCAAAATATGCTGGGAAAATTAGAAAACAAAAAAGAACCTGACCATAAAATCTACTAGAGTGTTAGGGAAGACTAAGACACAAACACAGAAGACATGTAAAAACAGCTACATGCTACAAGCCTTAAATTAAAAAATGCAAATGGACACAAACCTCATAAGAATTTCTGAAAGAGATAAATAGATGAGTGGTGGAGGAAAAATTGGGAAAAGAAATGAGAGTGATACAAAAAAACTATGAAAAGAGAATTAACAGCTTAGTAAAAAAGGCACAAAAATTCACTGAGGGAAAGAACTCCTTAAAGAGAAGAATAGGGCAAATGGGAAAAAAGAAACAAAAATTCAGTGAAGAAAGTAATTCTGTAAAAATTAGAATTGGGCAAGAGGAAGCTAATGACTCCATGAGACATCAAGAAACAATAAAACAAAGTCAAAAGAATGAGGGGAAATAGAAGAAAATGCAAAATTACTCAGAAAAATAGCTGATGTGAAAAATAGATCAAGGAGAGATAATTTAAGAACTATTGAACTGTCTGAAAGCTATGATAAAAAGAAAAAGCCTGGACATCATATTTTAAGAATTATCCCCCAAAATTGCCCCAGTATCTTAGAACCAGAAGGTAAAATAGAAATTCAAAGAATCCTTCAATCACCTCCTAAAAGATTTAAAAATAAAAATTCCCAGAAATATTATAGCCAAATTCCAGAGTTCCCAGGTCCAGGAAAAAATATTGCAATAAGCCAGAAAGAAACAATTCAAATATTCTGGAGCCACAATAACAATATCCCAGGATTTAGCAGCTTCCACATTAAAGAAGTAGAGATTCATAATATGATATTCCAGAAAGCTAAGGAGCTAGGATTACAACCAAGAACAACCTACTTAGCAAAACTAAGCATAATCCTTCAGTGGGAAAAAACAAATATTTAATGAAATAGAGCACTTTCAAGCATTCTTGATGAACAGATCCCAGCTGAAAAGAAAATCTGAAGTTCAAACACAAGACTCAAGAGAAGCAGAAAAAGATAGAAGTGAAAGAGAAATCATAAGGGACTTCATAAGGTTAAACTGTTTACATACCTATAAGGGAAGATGATAAATATAACTCCTAAGAAATTTATTATTATTAGGACAGCTAGAAAAAGACTACATAGACAAAGGACATCAGTTTAAGTTGATTATATTGGGAGATTTCAAAAAACATGAAGGGATAAGAAAGAGGAATGCACTGGTACAAAGAGGGAAGAATATACACACACATAACGTGTACATACATATATACATATATGTGTATGTATATACATATATATATACATATACATATATATACACACACGTGTGTGTGTACACATATGAATACATATTCAGTTGGGTATGGAAATGTATCTTACCCAACAGGAAAGTAGGAGGGGAAGGGGATAAGAGAAGGGAGAGGGATGATAAAAGGGAGATTTTTGAGGAGGGACAGGATAAAAGGAGAGAGAGAAGGATAAACAGAAGAAAATAGGATGGAGGGAAATACACAGTAATCATAACTCTAAATGTAAATGGGATGTACTTACCCATAAAATAGAAGCAAATAGCAGAACAGATTCGAAATTAGAATCCAACAATTTATTTTTTGCAAGAGGCACACTTGAAATGGAAAGACACTCAGAGAGTAAAATAAGGGGCTGGTACAGAATCTATTATGCTTCAATTGAAATAAAAAAGACAGGGGTAGCAATCATGGTCTCAGACAAAGCAAAAGCAAAAATAGACCTAATCAAAAGAGATAATCTGAGAAATTATTTTGTTAAAAATAACTATAGACAATGAATTAACATAAAAAATTTGAGTAGTAGTACAGTTTATCTTCTTCCAATTTTTAACATCTTTTTAAAGTTTTGAGTTCCAAATTCTATCCCATCCTCCTACTCCTCCTTCCCCCTCCTTGATATGGTAAACAATCAGATATAGATTATACATGTGCAATTATGTAAAACATTTCCCTATTAGTCATTTTGTATAAGATTATTAGAATAAAATAAAAAAGATGAAAGAAAGAAAGAAAGTGAAAAATAGCATGCCTCAGTCTGTATTCAATCAATATCAGTTCTGTCCCTGGAGGTGGAGACTATGCTTTATCATTAGTCCTTTGGGACTATCTTAGATCATTGTATTGCTGAGAATAGTTAAGTCATTCACAGTTCTTTATCGAATAATATTATTGTTACCATGTGCAACATTCTTCTAGTCTGTTCACTTCATTTTCAGTTCATGTAAATCTTTCCAGGTTTTTCTGAAATCATCCTGCTTGTTATTTCTTATAGCACAATAATATTCCATTACAACCATATACTACAGCTTCTTTAGCTGTTCCCCAGTTAATGGGCATCCTTTTGGTTTCTAATTCTTAGCCAATGCAAAAAGAACTGCTATAAATATTTTTGTACAAATAAGTCCTTTTCCCTTTTTTAAATGTCTTTGGGATATAGACCTAGCAGTGGTATTGCTAGATCAAAGGGGTACACAGTTTTATGGCCCATGGGACATAGTTCCAAATTGCTCTCCAGAGTGGTTAGATCAGTTCACAATTTCACAAACAGTGCATTAGTGTCCCAGTTTTCCCACATCCCCTCCACCATCTAACATTTTCCCTTTTTGTCATATTAGACACTCTGATAGGCATGAGGTAGTACCTCAGGGTTGTTTTAACTTGCATTTCTCTGATTAATAGTAATTTAGAGCACTTTTTCATATGACTATAGATTGCTTTGATTGCTTTGTCTGAAAACTGCCTGTTCATATCCTTTGATCATTTATCAACTGGGGAATGACTTGTATTTTTTATAAATTTGACTCAGTTTTTTATGTATTTGAAAAATGAGGCCTTTATCAGAGATACTTGTAAATTTTTCCCCAATTTTCTGCTTTCCTTATAATTTTGGTTGCATTGGTTTTGTTTGTGCAAAAGCTTTTAAACTTTATATAATCAAAATTATCTATTTTACATTTTATAATTTTCTCTATATCTTTTTTGGTACTAAATTCTTCCCTTATCCATAAGACTGACAGGTAAACTATTCCATGCCCTCTTAATTTGCTTATCACCCTTTATGTGTAAATCATGTACCCATTTTGACCTTATCTTGGTTTATGGTATGAGATGTTAGTTTATACCTAGTTTCTGCTATACTATTTTCCAGTTCTCCCCATAAGTTTTTGTCAAATAATGAGTTTTTTTCCAAAAGCTTGGAACTTTGAGTTTTTTATAGACTAGATTACTATGGTCATTTATTATAATATAATTTGTACCAAATCTATTCCACAGATCCACCACTCTATTTTTTAGCCAGTACCAGATTGTTTTGATAATTACCACTTTATAATACAGTTTCAGTTCTGGTACTGCTAGACCACTTTCTTTCACATTTTTTTCCATTCGTTCCCTTGATATCTTTTAGTGTTTCTCTTTCCAGATGAATTCAAAAAATTTTACAGCAAGGTCCTCTGATAAAGACTTCCTTTCTCAAATATATAGGGAAGTAAGTCAAATTTGTAAAAATAAGAGTCGTTCCTCAATTAATAAATGGTCAAAGGATACAAACAGGAGGGGCAGCTAGGTGGCACAGTGGATAGAGCACCAGCCCTGGATTCAGGAGGACCTGAGTTCAAATCCAGCCTCAGACACATAGCACTTACTAGCTCTGTGACCCTGGGCAAGTCATTTAATTCCATTGCCTAGCAAAAAAAAAAAAAGGTATAAACAGGCAGTTTTCAGAAGAAATCAAAGCTATTTATAACCATATGGAAAAAATGCTCTAAATCACTATTGATTAAAGAAGTGCAAATTAAAAGAACTTCAAAGTACCAGCTCACACTTATCAGAAATCAGAAATGCTGGAGTGGGAGATGAAAGAAAATAGGTACACTGATGAACTGTCAGTGGAGTTGTGAACCAGCCTAACCATTCTGGAGAACAGCTTGGAACTATGCCTAAAGCACTATAAAGCTGTTCACACCCTTTGACCTAGCAATTTCACTACTAAGTTTGTATCCCAAAGAGATGAAAGAAAAAGGAAAATGGCCTATGTGTACAAAAATGTTTATAACAGCTCTTTTGTAGTGGCAAAGAATTGGACATTTGGGGGACGCTAATCAATTGGGAAATGACTGAACAAGAATGATTGCGATACAATACTATTGTGCTATAGGTAATGATGAGGAAAAACCTGTGAAGACCTCTATGAACTAATGCAAAGTGAAGTGAGGATAACCAAGAGATCATTATACAGCAATATCGTGATGATGATCAAATATTACTCGGCTACTCTGATGAAAACAGTGATCTAAGACAATTTCAAAGGATTCATAATGGTAAATGCTAGCCACCACCAGAGAGAGAACTGGTGAACTTTTAATGCAAATTGAATTATAATTTTCTTGCTTTTTTGTGACGTGGCTAATACGGAAATATGTTTTACCTGATTTCACATGTATAATTAATATTCTATTGCTTGCCTTCTCAGGAAGTGTGAGAGGGATTATAGAGAGGGAGAGAATTTGGAACTCTTTTTTTAAATGTAAAAATAAATAATAATTGTAAATGTAAAAAAAAACCCTTTAATGTGGAGGACTATGGCTTATTAAGCAAAAAGTTTTGCTCTACCTATCCTTCAAAATATATACACATCCAGATCTTGGCACAATAGGTAATAAACTTCTGTAATTTGTTGTCACAAGAAAAGGCCAAAATTCAAATGAAAAGGAGAGGGAGATTGGGAAAGAAGAGGCAAAAAAAGGGAGGGGGGGTAATGTATGAAATACATAAGATTATATAAATGTGAAACAATTCAATTTGTAAAGGAAAGAGAAAAAAAGAAAATCCAAGAATAAAAAGGATGGAGAACAATAAGAATATCAAGGAGAATTGTGAAGATAAAAGGAGTGATAAAGGAAAAGTAGTATGATCACTGGCAATGAAATACAATCTTATATCTACATTAATGACCTCAAAAAAAGATCTAAA